CAAGTTGGCAAGACTGAAAAGAGTGAAAATTGCAAGTAGCTAACATAATTTTGTAATACATACCAACAACTAGCAAATTGCTTTGAACTACTGTTAAGCAAGGATTTCTATTTTCCATAGATAATACTGGCTTGAGCTTCCCAGGGCTAATACAGTACACATTCTTTTACAAAGGCTTAAAGATATTTCAGAATAAAGGATTCATAGAAGCAAGCATCGTCGTACAATCAAAGTGGAATAGGATATACAAGTAACAAAGAGATATATTCCTTTATCTTCATAGAGGAGTTGGTGTATCCATCAATGTGTTTATATATATTTTCTGCCATTCGCGAATAATTAATAATCCTTTCAAGTAAAGCAAAGGAGAATGCAGTCGGATTGAGGCACTCTTCGTTTATCTTCTTCCATGCATCGTCAACTAGACCTTGGAGCTTCTTACATGCCACATGCACATCTGTTCCGAACTCTTTCATGTAGCATTGGACTGTGGAGGCAACATGTTCCCTAGTTTGTTCCAACTGCAAATTTCATGAAAAAAGAGGTTGAATGATCTACAAACTGAATTCTGAGGGATCCTTTTAGGATTTACATGTTCGTTATATTAAAACAAATTAATAGACTATTATCGATAACAAAGCATAGATGAAAGGAATTTGAAAATATACGGATGTGGAAGCTTATAAACTGGAGTTTTTTCGTTTGTACTAGATTTCTTAATATAATATCAATTAAGAAGTTCAGAAATACTTTGATAATGCAATTGAGTGACACAAGAATTGCTTTTGAGGTGATAAATAGAAGGAATAAACTAGAGATTACCTATTAAACCTCAGTTATGTTCCATCTCATCTAATGCGAGAAGGCATGATATTTTTTTATGTTATCATATGTCTACTACTAGAGAAATCAATACAAATTTTACTATGAAAAAGGTTTATATGATATAAAATACTGGAGATTATATTGTGAGGATACCTCATGTGAAGTAATGTCATTCATAATCCGAGAAATTATTCCAGAAGCTTGGACAATTTTTGGGAAACTAGTAATCCACTTAAATACCTCCTCAGTTGCTATTTCTCCCATTCCAACAAAAGAAGCACATTCGAGTACAGGATTTGCTGCACTGATGAGGGAAACCTGTAGGTGTTCTTCCAGAGTTGGCACGTAATGTTGAGCACTCCATTTGGATTCCTCAAAGTAAGCTTTAGATACAGCTTTCATCTGTATTAGGTAAAATAAACCCATTCCTTAATGTATGTAATGCATGAGCAGTGTATATGGAAGAAATGGAATTTTATTATCTCGCTTCATGATTGTCACATATGGAACAATTATTCTCCGCACAATCATTGGGTTCGTTTAATGTAATGCTAATTCATGAAAATTAAAACAATAATGTCTCTCAGATTCATCACATACCGATTCCTTGAGATAGTACAAGCGATACTTCCCACTGAGTGCTAGCAAAGTTTCGAACTCTTCAAAGGCGTGAATTAACTTGAGAAAGTAGTCCTTCATATACTCTGGTAGTTGATGAACAGCCTTTGCATCCCATCTGCATATGAATTAGTCCCATCTTTAGAAAAATAGTAGTTGATATTACATATATTGTTGTTATTGTTTTTACTAGTATTAATATTGTTTTGTTATCCACAATGGTCGAAACTATTTTCATGCTTTTAGTGACACATTATGTTATCGCCTATTGCATGCAAAGTCAGTGAAATATAATCTTTCGGTCGATATAAGATTTCCAAACCTTTGGATTGCCTCGGTGAATTGTCGACTCTCCTCCAGTGTGCTATAGACATCATAGATGTCATCCATAATAGTGATTAGGGCAAAGACCTTGGCCGTTATCATTCGTGCACGGGAATAGTGGGGTTCAAAGTATATGTTCAGAGTCCAATAGTAGCACTCCACCAATCGGTCTCGAGAAAAATCGAGACTGTTGGAGGGTGCTATTTCGTTCCACCACCTTCAAGTCATCCACGATCCAGAATAGATAGATGAGAAACATGAAATCATTCAACAATCGATCTACTTAACCATATCCTCTATGGATCTTTCTCTTTGCAGAAATCAAGAAGAAATATGGCTAGTAGTAGTAAAAATTAATGTGAGGGGACCATACAAAGAGATGTTCTTAAGCTCCTCACGATGAAGAGATTGTAGTGTATTGAAGTCCAGCTTTGCAAGCTCCAGTATGACATCATTTCGTGCGGCATCCTCTTGGTATATAAAGATATAATCTCTTGCCAAGAGCCTTCTCATCCTTCTATATAGAGGTGTCTCAAGGGCAAGAGACACTTGAATTGTTAATGGTGGTTTAAGATCGCCTAACGCAGATAATAGATGGTTCCTGGTAAAAGAGATGGCTTCATCAAGAATTATCTCCCTGTGAGTCCCAAGATGAGCTTCGTTGTACAAGCTTAACAGTCCCTTCACATCACTTCCCAAGGTACGCATGAAACTCCCTCCCTCATCTTTGAACTTGTTAAAAACATCTACAGAAATACATAAGATTTTTTGTTTTGAGGGGAAAAAACACAAAGCCATATTATCATAATTAATTTACTGTACTTGGTGATTACGTGATGATCAATATAATGACTTTTGTGTGTGATTTTTATGTTTATTGTACCCAAGAAAATGTCACAATAACATGCCCTTATTATATAGTTTGTAAAAAGAGCAAGATAAAGAAGGGCATCAACAAATTATATAAATAGTTCTTCAACTATGAAATCAACTTAATTTCGATGCAAATGGTTTTAGTACTCGAGCATAAGTTTTTCATCTAAATCTGCTGCGTATATACTATTCATTGAACATTTTGTTATCAGATCCTCAAGTGGTATAACATGATAAAGCAGTCTCCACACACGCTCGGATGAAAGCCTCAAGACTTGCGAACCACAACCTCATCACCTGGAGCAAGTGACAGCAACTCCATAGTCTCCACTTTTTATGTGGAAAAAAACTAAAGCTGGCAGATGGCAAGAGCATGTCCCCTTGTGTTGGAATTTATAAGGAATTCCAACACAAGGGACTATGGATTCCCATGGCAACAGCATGTTCACTTTGTCGAGGCTATGCTCCTCCTTGTCATCCATCAATCGTTTGTCAAAGGGAATGCATTAGCACTTAAGAAATAGTGTTGCGGCTGCTAGGCAAGGCTGTCGCA